TTCAGAGTTTGATCAGAATTGATCCGAAGACCAAAACCGATGCGTTTGCATGCTGGGATAGCATGTCTTTAAATACATTTTTGAACCGATTTCTAACTACCGCAGCTAACTAATATCCAATAAAAAGTAAATATAAAATTAATCGTTTCAGACTTAGATTTCGGTAACGCAGTCGAAATGATCATCACTCTATCTCAGTACCGCAGCGATCACATGATCAAATCGCCGTTTTACAAAATCGCCGTTCACAGCTAGAAGCATCCATTCAGAACCGTGATCGCGCTCAAAATCTCGGAACGCCAGTTCGAAGATAGAGTACTGATTTCATATAAAAAAGTCAGGTTTTCAATAGGAGAACAATTTAAATTCAGCCTAAACCAGATGACTAGTTTTTTTGTAAAGACTTTTGTTCATCACGCGCCCAGTTGACTCAACTGTCGTATCACATACAAGTGAAACTCGATAAGCCGAAGTCATGCTAAGCCGAAATAGCATTAAGCCGAAGTTTTTTTGATTTTCCAAAATTTTATTATAGCCTAAGCCGAAATTAATTAGTAAATTCGCGTTAAACGATAAGCCGAAGATTTTTGGCTAACGCTAACTGACTTATCTCGATATACCGAAGTAATCACGTGAATTTATCTTGATTGGTTCGTTCTTAAATACCATGATCGAAATCAGACCATACTATTAGTGCAGACAATTCAATCGCTTGATTGCATCCATTTCGCGCGCGTGGCTTGTATATATTTTTACGGGGAAAGTTTCAATTAACTCTTTCATTTGATTAATATTTCAGAATGAACGATCGTGGAGAAAGTTCAACAAGTGGTGGCTCTTCAAATTTGTTACGATTCAAGAAATAAAGCAGCAAAGAAAAAAGTAAACCAAAAGACGTTGACTGGCCTTGAAAAATAATCTCTTTGTATCAATTCTTTGCTTCTGTATATTACTCAAGATTGTGATGTGAGCTTCAAGTTGATACTGCCTTCTTATCCAATCTAAAAAAGTTAAAGAGAGCGATTGAGACTAAACAACAGAATATGCTACAGCAAACGAGTATTTTTTCATTTTATCATTAATAAAGTTTATATAAAGTGCTGTTATAAGCCGAAAGCTTGTGTAAACTATATATAAATTCGACTTATTGCGAAATTTGATAAAACGAAAATCTCGATAAGCCGAATAAATTGTCCCTTCCCGCGACCTTCGGCTTATCGAGTTTCACTTGTAGTTTGTTTTATCGAATGGCATCAGTTACCATAATAGGGACTCAAAAAATTGACATTAATATTAAGGTAAAATATTCAACTAGAGTTAGAAATAAGATAATGGGTACATCTTGTTGTCAAATTGTATGCACTTTACAGTCACATTAATAGAAAATTTTCTTTCAGGTTGTTAGTTAAAAATGTAAACTTATACTTTCGCAAGAGTGATTGGAAATATAAAGAAGAATTAACTATGCAGGCGCGTAAGCAAAACCGCGTTTATAGCCAGAATTAAACAAATGCTCTCCCAGCCCGACTGATCATAACAAGCGAAATACCGTATTCTTCCGAAATATTAGAAATCTGAAAAGAACTTGAAATGGTGGTTCTTTATGGTAATTTAGTGGAGGACTTAAAACATCTCAACGTTGGATGTTGGGCTTTATGAAAAGGTTCAATTTAGCGTTGTGTAGACGGACCAGAATTTCTCAGAAACTTCCTGATAAAACTCAGGAACAACTAGAAAAATTCGTTAAAAACTTAAGGATTGAAAAGTCGTTTAGATTAGGAAACATCCTTAATATGGATGAAACACCGGTCTGGTTCGATATGGCCAGTGTTTATACGACAATCCTAAGGGAGAAAAGACGGTTCATATTCGAGCCACAGGAAACGAAAAAAAAAACCCCCGATTTACGGTAGTTCTGCAGGTATCGTTTTTTTTTTCCTGCTTTTCTCTTTCCGATTTTTTAAATTTCCAATTCCTTTTCTGATTTTATTCCCTTTCGTATTCCGGTTTTCCTCTATTTTCTTCTCCAATTTCTTTCAGTTCCGTTTTTTTCCAATTTACTAATCATTCAATTTATTTTTTTTTTATTTAATGGCCTTTTCGTTTTTAAATTTTACAATAGACGGGTCTAAATTCCCCCAATTGCATCTTCAAAGGAAAACAAATGCCACGTGGAGAAAAAACGCCTCCGGGAGTCATCGTTTGGTTTCAAAACAATGGTTGGATGGACACTAGTTTGATGAGAGGTACGTAGATTATCTTAACGATATAAGGGTGAAAAACAGAACACGAGAGAGTTAGGCAATGTTTGTGTACGATTCTTTTAAAGGCCACTTAGAAGACTCGATTAAAGAAAAGTTTCGTGAAACTGGTGTCTATTTCGCGGTAATCCCGGGCGGATTAACAAGTAAATGTCAACCACTCGATGTCTCCATTAATAAACAACCTCCGAAAAGAGTGACATTCCTGGATGGTGGTGCTGGAGAAACCGCCTCAGGAAATCTTCGCCGCGCAAGTCTTAGTGATGTATGTTTATGGGGTGGAACGTTCATGGGAGGGTATTTCTGCCGATATAATTGTTAAGTCCTTTAAAACGTGGCAAACGATTTGGGTGAGACTGATATCACGGATTAATCTTTATAAAATAATCAATTTTTCCGAAGTGTTGCTTATTTTCGGGAGAATGCGGTAAGTGTCGTTTTATTTATGGATTGGCGATTTTCAGCATTCTTAACATTAAAAGCAGTCATGACTCGACATGTGATCAAGAGGCACACTAGTCTTTACCAACTGAAGTTTAGCTGGTTCTTGTGGCTTTTAGAATTCTTGGCAAAAGCATCGCCACTTCTGTGACAAATATTTAGTTTATATTGATTGATAATCGTGAGGCTTGTTATTATTATTCGAAATTAGGTTTGACTTTTACCGTCAGCCAATCATGACTATTTGTGGCTTACCAGCATTCTGAGAGCAATCATGTGAGATAGGTGCCCCGACTCGCTTTCTGCTTTCGGTATTGGTTAAATTTGGATAGTTATTTACTGTCGTGGCTGTATGTGTCTCATTTATCAGCTTAATTAGACATTAATTACTATTACTATTACCTTACCTAACCTTCTTGACCATGAGCATTTAACTCTAATTCGACACCGCCTTCCTACTTCGTCCCTCCCCTCAAATTTTTGGTATTTAACCACGCTCCTTTTCTTATTAATCACTTTCCCTTACCATATAATCAAAACATAGTAATTTGAAATTGCTCAACTTACTCCTATGGCATACTCTGGGAGAGAGGCAACGCCCGGCACGCTGTCGGCCTTTCTTTCACTGTTCATGATATTCGTGGCATGCATCAGTGTCCCCGCCATTAAGAGTGTACAATTTGTAAAAATAGACGGCAACAACAACAGTACTGACTTTGTACTAGTTGGACTTTGGGGATATTGCGCTCAGGGTAACAATGGGCGGAATTTTGCATGTTCCAATTCTGCGCTGGGATTTCTATTCAGTATGTATCATGAATATTGGGATTATAGATCAAGACATGTCGATTGAAAAATAGACAACGCTATTGCTCAAGTCTTATTATATTTGCAAGACATTGCTCTGTACTTACCTAATAACTGTTCTTTAGATGAAACAACAATACTGACCAAAGATGGTGTCAATGTTACGGGAGCGACTTTAAAAGTCTCTTCACATGCATCTGGATATGCGTCGTTGGTTCATTTTCCAGGTAAGCAAATGCATTACAGACTTTAGCCTCATCGTCATCGCTGTCGGCATTGTAACTATCTATGAATCACGTACTGATAATAACTCACCAACTTCACGTATGCATAGCAATGATTATGGCATTTCTCACAACAGCAATTGGAGCATGTGGTCACTTTAGGGATAAAAGGAACGGAGGCTATCTACGAATAGCCTTTCGCACTGCCATAGCGGCAGCAGTAGTAGTGCTCTTCGCCATGGTTACTGACTACTTGACCTATCGCAATGTAGTCCAGAATGTTGCCGAGAATTTTGGGAATCAATTCACTGCCAAATACTCTAACGGCCTCTACATGATGGTTGCAAGCGTTATTTTTATGGTAATAGCAATCATTGCATTCTACGTAGGTCATCGTGTGAATGCACATATTAGACAACAGAAATTAGATCTCTTGCATAACAAAGAGATGAGCGGCGAAGCGTATGAGGAACGTAGACGTGAAGAAGAGTATAAGGCCAAGCTAGCTTTTGCAAGTAAACCGGTGGAGCAGTACGCTGTGTATGAGGAAGTAGTTGAAGAGCCAGTTCAACATCGGAAGCAGACTTTACCTTTTGAACAAGGCTATAATTCATCTAGCCGATCTCTTCCGCCAGAGACGTATCCATTGATGCCTATACAAACTCAAGGAATGGGGAATCGTGCGAATGACAATAGATATCAAACACCACCGTTGCCACAGTCAACAAACACATCACCGATAACACCTAATGGATATGGATATCCACAACAGTTAGCACAACCAGGACTGAACCAACCGCCATATCCGCCTCTCTCGCGAACTCCATCTCCAGCGAGACAACCATCTCCAGCGAGACAGCCATCTCCAGTGAGACAACCATCTCCCGCAAGACAACCGTCTCCGTCGCCATCTGGTAGTTATTATCCCCCTTCTCCATCGAGTCATTACCCTCCTTCCCCGTCATCAACTACCCCACGTTATAATCCATCTGGATTGTATCCATCTTCAGCAAATTCTTATCAACCTCCTCCCGAGCGGGATTATTATCCTTCGTCAGCAACAGGATATCCAGTAGGAGAACCGCAACATCTGCAACCACAACAGGGATATTATCAGGATCATTTGAGAGGAAGAAGTGAGCCTATTGCCGCATGGCATTAATGGGTATTTGGATCGTACTACCAGCTGGGAAAAGCGGTGAAAAAGAAACCTGGAGACGCGTTCGCTAGAGCAAGAAACAACATATTTTAATAAGTTCAGTGCTGGAAACTTTCACTTTGTAATTTAATGTTATTCGTAGGCGTGGCCAATGCATTTTATAAAAAGTGCTTTGAGGCCCTGTAAAATTAATAGTGTCGCTATAACCGTGATTAGACTGCACATGTAAATGACTCAGCAAAGAGATTTCGGTACTCGCTTAGAATACATAGATGAGAATGTAACTGTATCATATGCGCATTAGTTATGATATTATATTGTAACTTCAGACTTGAAAGCGCGTATGGAACCGATAAATAGTATTTTTATTGGCTTCACGAAACTATATAAAAGATGACATCTACTGTATTTCGTTTAACAATCTAAATGGTCTTGCAATTATTCGTAGGATTATAAAACGCTTGTATACAATGAAACTCAATATAACGGATATCGCTTATAAATGTCCTAAAGATTGAAAAAATATGGGTTCAGAAACAACACTTTTGCTTGATAGAATCATAAGTGATAGAATTGGATACATATTTTTTGAGTATACCACCCAAGCAGCGGGTTCCAATGATGCAGACAAATAGTGTGTTAGCTCAGATGTCAAAGAAATAGGGGTGATTCCGGATGGATTGTACGTAGCTAATTAGACGTCTTGATCTCTGGATATACGAGACTCGAACAACAAACGGTTTGCCCCTCGAATTTTGATTATATTTCATTATGTACAACAAACAAAGAAACCATTTTAGATGACAAAGGAGAAAGTACATAATGTAAACAATATTACAATCACGTCCGTCATGGGCAAATGATTTCTATTTATATTTGTTGATTATTTACAATGATTTGATCGTATCTTAAAAAGCCTTACCCAATGGAATTAGCTAAAGAATATTGTACAGGGAAACGCTTAATTAGAAAAGTGGCTATTCTGAATGGTTATTGCCAAAACGGCAAAAGTTGGGCCCTATCGCTATAGGTCGACTGCTATAGATAACGCTTATTAAATTAATATATTTACTAGACAATACATTTCCTACATTAAGAACGAGAAACGTGCTTGGTTATATTCATTGCCAGTCTTATATATTAGCGTTAAACCACTTGTCATTCTCAGAGACGATAAAAAATTCTGCCTGCAGAAACAACTCTTGCCATTACAGACGACATGGATATGGATCAGACTGATGCTGTATGTTATAAGCCATGTATTTCAATCATATCATAGAGAATATTGTTAATCTTTACACATTTGTGGCTGATTTGATCGTGCGACATACATCGACAAACGGATACCGAACTTTCGAAAGCCTGTATCTCAAAATGATATTAATATTAATATGCCTCAATCGTCAGTTGCCTGATACAGTAATATTAAATGAGCCCCAAATGTTTATCGATATGAAAGCCTCCTAATGCAATACATCAGCTGGTCGATTACTCCGCCCACTCCCTCGCCACCTCCTAAATTCTTTTACTAATGATAACAATATTATAGCATGAAAGCGTTTGCCACCATCAAACAATCGAAATCATGGTCTGTGTTGTAATAAAATCTTCTATTCAAAATTTTCATTGTGCTGTTTGAACGGGGAATGTAATATTGGTGAAATTACAGGCATCTCAAATCGAACCATTCGAAGAGCTTTTTACGAAGTTTATAGATTATAACGTGGTCCAATTAATGAAATAATTGAGCCCGGTATTCATTATACAGAGCCGGACGACATTACCTAATAGAAGTGTAACGCCTGCTTTAGCTCAAAGCTTGGTCAATTTAAATGTAGTTGCAAGACTAGTTGCTCGATAGCTTGATGCGCTTGTCGCAAAGCTGCAGTCATTTGTAACTTAACTGCCATCCTCATAATCGACAATTCAAGTGTTTATAAAAAAGGCGTAATACATGTAGTAATACCACAAGTTACTTGCTATTTTTTACTGTATATAGATAATTCATCTTTTATGCTAAAATTTACAAACGTTTAAATAACATATAAATACTTTTATAATGTTGCTACCTGGCTATCTTTACTATTCCAATCTGACATACAACACCCTTGGTTGAATAGTTTCATAGTAATAGCACAACACTCCAATTACTTCTATTTCTTTTCTTACCGCTATGTGCTGATAATCGTAGTCAATGACGTTTGCTTACAGTATTAGGAAGTTTGTCTTCGTGTATGCAGAATTCGACCAATGATAAAAACTCTCAGTTGTTTCCATAATTAATTATAATGCATCAATGTCGTTGCAATGCGCACAAACAACGCGCTTGTCTTACGTACGTAATTGCAGGTAATTAAACAATACATAGTATAAATTCGCGCTTGCTATAATTATAATTGCTATAACGAATAAACTGCTAATTCACTTGAAGGAAAAATGTTTACTTTCTCGAGTAAATTCCTTTCGGCATACGTAACCTGTAACAATCGACTACATATACGGGAAACCGTCTCAGTGGCTGAAATGTTGTAGAAAGATCAAAAACGATTATACGACAAAAGAACTGAATCCGATTCGGAATTTCATAGTGAAAAAATACCTTGGCAAAGGTAATGATTATGATAGTCTGATAAGCATTCTCAGGGTATGAGATAGAATTTTGCTGCTTTGGCGCTTACTAATCAAAGATAGTAATTAGTCAAGTGCATACATCATAAAAGGCTAAGTGTTTCATTAATGCTAGTATCATGAAGTTGCGACCAGCATATTTAACATCAAATCGTTATCTACTTAAAGAGATGTGATTTTATGAGGGGAATCTTGTGATGGCGCATCTTAGAACTGCAGATCTTTGATGCGAGTACGTGCGCAGGGGCATTTTAGGACTATTTATAGTTTTGAAGATGCAGTCGAATTTCTATATTTGGCGCGCTGTATGAGATTAAGGCTTTGACGTCCTAACCAGTCAACAATGAACAGAATTATTGCCATTATCAGACGAGAAGTGTAGAAGTGTAACACTGCAAAGCTGCATCTCAGTGTATGAGGCTGTCTTGCTGGAAAAATCCTTATTATAATGGTAATTGCTCCAGGAGGAGAGAAGCGGAGAAGAAACGATTGAAGATGATGTCATGATCATCCTTTGTCGCGCTTAACTGTCTTATTATTATTATTATTCCTCCCCCCAATCAATTTTTTCACGTTCCGCCCAATAGTTGTGTGACATTAACAAATTCGTAAATCCTTAAGTTGATGCATGGGTAATCCGTGGCGGAAACTATCTTGCCGCAAAAGAGCGCTCGAAGAGTCGATCAAGATTCAAACAATAATGAACACACCCTCGGTAAGGTTTCTCTCAACTGCGTTGACCCAAAACTACCTATTAGAAAAATCCACCGAATAGTCATCGCTATATTTGCCCTTCAACCCCCACCAATTTCCACCGCTGCCCTTTTTTCCCAACTAATATTTCCTTAACATGAGCAGGTATCAGAGATCATAACAACTTCTCAAGCAGCAACAACAACAACAACAACAACAACAAGAACACCGCCACCAACGCCACCATCACCAACAATACAGACACCAACACCACAAACACCAACAATACGCATATTCACATCGCAGTCCTCCTCGCCCCGACCAGCACATGATGAATGGGACAACGTCGACGACTTCGACCCCTTCCCCGTAGAAGAATCCTCCGATTCCCCGTCTTCCACTCAGTCTCCTTTCACTCCCTCGCCACCCGAAGAAATAGCAAGAGAAGAAATAACAAGTGAATTTGCTGACTCTCATCGAAATTCCTCTGATATATTTCAAAAGATGGGGTTAGTTGATTTATATTTTTTACCATTTCTCGCTGCGGTAACTTTATTTAATAAAAATTGGAGATTAACGAGAAGATCGAAATTAACATTCTATGTAAACCAAATAAAAATCTAGTTATTTGCAGATATGATTTATGTGATAGGAGAATTTATGTTGAAAGACTAGAGAAGAAGAAATTTGATTATTCACAATATTTTTATTTTATACATTCGATCTGGACACGTTTAAAGCCATTGGTTCTACAATTCACGTGTTGTACAGTATATGAAGTCTGATGAGAGATCGCGAGTGAAGCACTCGTATTCGACAAGTCCAATATGGATGCTCGGGGTTGTGTATAATTTTACAGGTAGAACACGTCGATAGTTAAATAGTACGGGAAGATTTTGGGTACTGGGTCGTAACTTGCGCCTTGCGTTTTGTAAGTTTCAACGTTCCAACATTTAATATTCTTTCTTGTATATGCATGCCACGTATTAGAGAATGACGGTCCAATAAGTCTTCCAAAATCAGATCGGGGTGAACATGCCCGTGGCGGTCGAGCATCCTCCATATTAAATTTCGTATTATTTGGAGGATCAGAAGACGACGACGACTTTGACATTTTCAAACTACACGAACGGACCACGAGCGAAGACACGGGCCGTCAACGATTTAGCAAAACACGCTCGTTTTCCACTTCAAATGCTCTAGATCAAGCACATGTATCGCACAAAGGAAAAGGTAATTTGTTCAGGGTAACCGAAACGTAATATTTTAAAGACACCAATCTGTTTACACATTAGTCACATCTGATAAATACAGAACGAAGTTCTACAGGGGTTGGATCGCCGAGTTTGAAGCCTAGTATGAAAGGACGATTGCGATCTTTTTCATTTTCAAAGAAGAATGAGTCGTCGCCTGATTTATCACAATTAAATGCAAATGGGGAATCGAGTAGTAAAGGACTATCAGAAGCGAACAATTATTTACATGCCCGCCGTTTGTCAGGACATAATCTTAATCGAGGCTCTGCCCTGACTGAGCCATCTAGCCCCACGCAGCCGGTTAGCCCGCATGGTATTCCGTGGACCAAAAACAAAAAGCCTCGTCGTATGAGTGTTGCGAGTCTCTTTTCACTTAATCGGGATAAGAAAAATGCCGCTTCTCTACCATCACCTAAACTATATCCACACATTGAAAACGAGCAAGATCGTAACCCCAAGCTTCCAACTGGAACACGTCGCGCGTCATACGCAGACGATTTATTGTTTCCTGATGACAGCCGCTTGTCATCTGGAGACAGTGACACTAGTGACGGTACATCTCGTCTAGGCGAATCCGACAGAGAAGAATCATCCGTTGATGGATATTCACTAGGTCGTGCAATAGCAACAGCATCCAGAGACTTTGTATCTGCACACAGAGGTAGTCTACCTTCAAGAGGTGAATATGCGATGGATAAGAGACCAAAGTCAGAAGCGGGATCCTTGAGAAGTACAAAGTCGGCCCCGCCTATGGCAACGAGTTTATATTACCCGGAATCAGTTGGGCAATTGTCATCTAATCAGAATACGTTAATGGAGTTTTTGTACGACTTTCAGTCAAGGATATATTGTTGCTATCGAAAGGAATTTCCGCCGATTGAACCTGCGTTTCATACGTCAGACACTGGCTGGGGATGCATGCATAGAACGGGACAGAGTTTGCTGGCACAGGGATTTCTGATAGTGTTACTTGGGCGCGGTAAGTGATCTTGTAGGATGAGAGATGGGCGTAGTGCGAATTCGTAGTTAAGGGTTGGGGATGCGTAGTGAGTGTGAGCGTAGTGAGTGTGAGTGTCCGTGGTACGGATTCTGTGCCTTTGAAAGAGTAAAGTTAACGGTCATTTGTGTTGGCCCGCCTCGCGGTTGTCATGTATAAAGGTTGGCGATTGCACCATCATCAACCGCCTGCAGACGTGGTGACATACCGAAAAGTAAGCTATTATGTGACCACGGTTATTTCCTGCTCGTTTAGAATTTTTAAATATTTATTAAGCACGCTATCCCTTCATTCTTAGATTCTTCGTTGGTTTCTGGACGGGCCTGATCCTGAACAATATTACTCGATACATAATATCGCCAGAATGGGAGTGAAACTGGACAAGAAGATTGGTGAATGGTTTGGACCTTCTACAGTGGCATATGCATTAAAGTAAGCAAGGGGATTTAAGTCTTTATACTTTCTCGTCCTATGCTTACTTTTTTTTTTTTTTTTGGTAATATGAATACAGGCGATTATCTGTTCAGCATAAAGAATGTCCATTAGCCATCCACATAGCGTCCGATAATTCTATATATCGAAACGAAGTACTATCATTAGCATACGGTGAATTGGATACATATCCATTCACAGAACAGAAAACATGGAAACCAGTGCTCATTATGATACCGATTAGGTGACTATAATGAAGACACGGAACGAAATTTAATTGAACCGTTTTAACACACTATCATTTGCCCTCACGCAGGCTCGGTACAGATAAACTTAATGCAAACTACTCGCAGAACTTAAAGGTATAGTAAACATACAATTCGAATGCAGACCATATTTCGCTTATTGATTACATCTTATTCTACAGGCATTATTTACCTTTCCGCAATTTCTTGGGATTGCTGGTGGGCGACCTTGCCGATCATTATACTTTGTTGCCATACAAGGTATCGAGGGATGACTTGGTTGGATATTGCGTATAGAAGATAGTTAGCATTACTAAGTAGTCGGAAAATAATCCTTTGTTAATCGCAGACAACGAGCTGCTATATTTAGATCCTCACTTCGTTCGGCCAGCACTCAATCTTGACAATTGCCAAGAATGCCCGATTGAGGTAGGTTTCAAGAAATGCGTCAGTACAATCATACTATATTTATGTCAAATTGGTACTCATATCTCTAATGATATATTCACAGGACTATCATTCAACAATAGTAAGGGCAATGGATATATCCGAAATGGATCCATCTATGTTGCTTGGATTTATTTGTCAAAGCGAACAAGAATTTAATGATTTCTGTGATCGAGTAGAAAGGGTAAAGTCCATCTTAGCAATGCAATCAACTTTTAAACACTCTGACAATTGTAACTTACTGTTTTCCCCTGGACTGTATATACTAGGATATGGATTCACGTTTTCCCTTCTTCACAGTAATGGATGCAAGTCTGCCTCCTGGCTCGTGGACATCATCTCGTCGACTGAGCGACGTGTCGTCCTCAACGTCGGAGATTGAGTCGGACTTTGTAGAAGACATTAGAGACATTACAGATAATAGAGTATCTACATCTAAAGATTTTGCTAGTACAGAAGATGATACCGTTAATGTGTCGAGAGAAGATGTCGAAGAGAGTCTGCATATGGACAGTGTAGAAGAAGATTTGGGAATAGAAGAGAGGATGTTATCAGCACGGAGACGTGAGTCGGCTGTTAGTGATAATTACGAGATGTTGTAATATATGTATTTTTTTTTTTATACTAAAGTCATTGTGCATTACAAAATTTATTTTGAAGTGGAATGGTTGGGTTGATTGTTTTCCTCTCAGAACTGAATAAGCATACCAATTGGGTATAAACATTAAACATACGTGATTGACAGGAAATTCAGGGTATTATTGCATGGTCGCCATGCTGCAAAAAAAAAAACGGCCCTCCTGTATTTTATTTTCTTTTGATAACATCATCTGTTAGATTTCCAATTCTTATACAACAAAATTAGTATTAATAAACTGAATTGATTTGGCACGAAAATGCTATAAACCATGGTATTATGGGTAAGAGAAGGATCACACCCAAACAATATGGAGAAGTGTCAACGAAAACTACCATGGGTGTCAAAAGAAAGCTTTCGGTCTTTGTTCATTCCTACTTAATTTTAAAGCCTTAGAGATAATGCCAATAATTTTAATTACAAGTTTATCATATGCTTGACATTGTTGAGCTTCAAGGAGCAAATATTTCTTCCCATTGGTAATTGGTATTTAAAACAGCGATATTAGACTTTTTGTAGATTTGAGCAATTCGTTCGGTATCAGTTGCCTTTTAGGGGAAAGGTTACTATTACACGTGTTTGGGCCATCTTTTTATCACTAGAATGGCCCGATAATTATTTGCAACATCAGCCAATCACCGTTCGTTGATTACATACTTTCGGCAAAAATTTTCTTTGAAAGTGACATTCGAGGAGGCTATATATTATATTTCCTTCAGATTTATCTTTTCCGAAATCAAACATGGCTCTTCCCACGCAATTTGCATGTAAATGATTATGAATAATGGACTCCTGCAATTGAAGTCTTATAATTCTCAAATAGACTCGACATTTACTATCTCAATATGTCACTTTTATCTCCTCAGATCGATCTACCGGAAGCGTCAAACTAATGTCGTATCCTACCATAGAGGATATTCGAGAGTAATGTGTGAGATCTCATTCTGTCCAGCAAACAATCTGTTATCGTTGTATCTAACTGGACCTTTTTCGACAGAATCGATGAGAATGTACGCACAGTACAGTATAGCAAGGATGGCAACTATTTTGGATGGGCTACGAATGAGTGGTAAAAGAGCGAATTATAAGATGAACAAGTGTGTTCAGTTATAGTTTGAATTGTTAACGGAAAATATCGACAACTGTTCGTACGATTACAGTGTCAAGATTATCAATGCCGATACTGGCGCGCTTGTCAGCGAAATTAGTAAGAAGAATGTCATTGATATTGGATTCTCACCAAAGAGAACATATTTGTCCACTTGGGAACGACCAGGTTTGATGATGTTGTTATAACATCGGAATAATGGATAAACTTTGGAGAATGCGATCGCTAACAATGATGCTACGATTTAGTTAAACTCGAAGGGGACGTTCCCCACAAGAATCTTATCATTTGGGACGTTGCTACAGGCAATGAACTCATATCTTTCACACAGAAGAGCCAGAATAAATGGTGCGATGTTTGAATTTTTTTACATCTACTTAGTTTATCAATTCCCTCTGTACAGCAAGCTTATTGTTTATTATTCGAACATACGTCTAACCGCCTTTTATGATAGGAACGTTCAATGGACATCAGATGAGGCTTACTTCTGTCGCATGGTTACAAACGAGGTCCACTTTTACGATAACGCAAGATTATCAAAAGGCATCCATTCAAAGCTACGGTTGGAAAACATATCCGATTTCGCATTATCGCCTGGTAGAAGCCCAGCAATAGCTGCGTTTATTCCCGAGAAAAGAGTCAGTAGCATTTTATACAATACAACAGATGGGATTGGTGTTATGTGTCCAGCATTTTATTATAACATAACCTAATCGTAAGGTATTTCACAGGGAAGCCCAGCAGTTGTGCGCATATATTCGATAACGAACTTCAATAATGCATTGGCACATAAGACTTTTTTCAAAGCTGATAAAATTCAGATGAAATGGAATGTCCTTGGAACTAATTTATTGGTATTGACGCAAACTGACATTGATAAAACCAATAAATCGTATTATGGAGGTAAGAATAGGAATCAAGCTGGAGATATCACGTGTATATCGATTCTGGGTCTCTCATTTAATTTTCACTGTTTTCATTTTAGAAACAAACCTTTACTTCCTCTCGGTAGCCGGCAATTATGATTGTCGTGTTGATCTCGGTATGTCATAGATATCATTATGACGATAAGCCTTCTTATTTAAGAAACTCATTAATCTATTCACATAGACAAGAAAGGACCCATTCACGATGTTACATGGAGCCCTAACTCAAAGGAATTCATAGTAATCTATGGATGTTAGTATGTTGTTTTTTTCACAAGCCACATGAGTATTTTACTAAATTTTTTATTATTATCGATTAAAGTCATGCCTTCGAAGGTGACTCTCTTTGACCACCGCGCGAATCCAGTTCATGAATTTGGTATTAATCCACGAAACACTGCACAGTTCAACCCTCAGGGACGACATATCCTTATCATTGTACAAGTATATGCCATTTCAAATAGTATATTTTATTCATCAATTTTGTGATCGTAAAACAACTTCCATAGCTTTTATAAACTAGCTTTGTTATTCATCGACTTTTCAGCACAGTTCTTTTCACATCATTGGCCTCCTTAACTCTATTGTTCCTCTTCAATCAACATCTCTACTCATTTACATAGCGGGCTTTGGTAATCTCTCGGGAACGGTGGACGTCTGGGATCGACAAACATTAAAAAAGCTTAACACATTCGAAGCACCGGATACATCAGAATGCACATGGTCACCGGATGGGAGGCATATTATGACAGCGACATTGAGTCCGAGACTAAGAGTGGAAAACGGATATAAAATATGGCACTATTCTGGTAGCTTAATGCACATGAAAAGTGTGGAAGAGTTGTGGCAGGTATTTAATAGCTGACAATAAAACTTGGGATACGAGTTGGTAAAAGAGCGCGGGCGAGTAATGTGAGACAAAGAGGTCAGCGCGACTTTAGTCAAATATTCGTATACGCAATTTGCTCTTGAAGGTTGTCTGGAGACCAGCATCTGTTGAATTGTATCCAATGAGAACAACCCTATCGCCTCCACCAAAACCAATTGGAGATGGAACTCAGAGTACTGTTAAACCTCCACGTGAGTGTAATTCTGTTATAAGGTTCACTATGCACATGCACACGTCTTTACGTTCTCGTACACTTATTTGCCCAGCCAAACCCGTTGGTGCTTATCGGCCCCCACATGCACGCGGAACGGCAACGCCACAGATGTTCAAGGTATCTCGCTATTTCTCTTAGAAGACTGTATTGAACGTGTATTGTTCTATAGTGACCAGGAAATTAATGATTTCAGCGTGAAGACGAAACGCCGAGTGGATCTCAATTAGATAGTAGTAAGGCTCAGAAGCCCGCTGCCACTGGTGAGAGTAAGTAGTCCAGTGATGTTCTATAATGTCTCCAAGCGAGTGGATCTGTCTTTATTATAATTCGATTTTAATACTTAAATTCTCTCAGCATCGCCAAGTAAAGTGGCAACAAAGAATAAGAAGAAACGTGAGGCATCTAAGAAAAAAAGAGAGGAACGAGAGGAACCTGGCCAATCAGTTACTAATAGCAACGGTATTCTTAAGCTTTTTTTTTTTTTTTATTTTTATTTTACCGTTCAAATAATTATGTCGCAACTCTATTTGTCTTCATCGATATGTCCATTCGTTCTACTTATTATTTAGCACCTTCGACTGGAGCTGCAAACCAAGTTACGGTAACTCCTGCAGGTGCACAAACAGAAACAGAGAAGAAGATTAAGACGATTACGAAGAAACTTCGACAAATTACAGAATTAAAAGAACGTCTAGCTAGAGGTGATCAATTAGAGCAAACTCAAGTAAGTTTATTCTTGGGAAAGGGTGAACAGACTTCGAGGCGGTAGAACAACTCTGACGTAAATTGGCGTGATATGGTTTTTTCGTAGATTCAGAAAATCTCTAGTGAGGCAACGTTAATAAAAGAGCTGGAGCAACTAAAAATCCAAAGTTAAAGCTTTATGTTAGTGAAATTAAATTATTGTGCAAAGTTCATGAAATAAAAAATACTATAGACATTCAGGAAATTACATATTTTGGAGATCACGGGACATGTACTGAATTTCATCTCCAGCCACGGCTATTGTGGCACAGATTTCAATTAAATTTTATTATCAATATTAAAATTATTTTAATCGTAAACTCACAAATGGCAAGTATAGCCAAAGAGCTATTAAAACAATCTTCCAAGACTATCCCGATAATACGAAGCGCGAGAGCGAAGAAAAATCTCTACGAGTTACTAAACGTGTACCCTAACTATGGCGTTGGGTTACTGGTGGTCCGTAGGTGGATGGTATTCTAATGACATGATTAAATTATGGGCTTCTTCGGGTGTGCTGAACTGACTATGTTGGTTGGGGTAAATAAGGTGCCCGACAAATGGGTTGGAAAGGGGTTTAAAGACTGTTACTACAAAGTTACAAGAGTTCGTTTGAAACCATTGGTGAGTGACCAAACAAAGACCTACTATAGTTGCTAATAATGACCGCTAACCGTCGGGTGATTATTTGCTCCATGTTAAACAGAACATTAAACACGGGCGAGCATTTGGAATTCAGTATTGGAATGGTGAGTGATGTACGCAAGGTGCATCTTTGATATTGTTGTGCAAGTTTATCCATTGAGTTATTTCCTTGGAGTAAGACTTTGGTAGTGTTTCTACTTATTTTTAATTTTGTTCGCAGGCGAACCAATAAATAACAAGAGAGAAGTTGTGATCAGAGGAGATCTCAAATGGGGTTGGATGATATGGCCATCCGGAGATAAGGAAGGACGGTGGGCATGATGCAAACTATAATAAAGATGATGCTCCACTGCAGTTGACCTTTGAACTTTTTGATGTCCTAACACGCTTGACATCTACTTGGTTTTGGGCATTTCGCTTTAATCTTCCCTCTAACTGCTTAATTCGGGCTTTAAATTATTCTAAAACGTGATTCAAAGAAGAACTAATCGTTGTCTATCCTTACTGTGTTTGTCAGTGCTCTCAACAGCAGAGTAAGTAGCGTTTCTTTGACTATCAGCCCAGCTTATATCATGAAAAGAATCATGTTGTAATTCCACGACTTGAACTGCAATCAATGGGAATCTAGTCCTCGTTATATACTTGTTATATAATTACAAAGTATTCAATTTATCACGCTACTTACCAGTAGAAAACGTTCAAGTATCGGTATTAATATTCTTGATAATACAACGTATAACATAGTAGATAAATTTTGTCGAGCTTCCTTTTTTTTGTTTTATATGACACACTTGTGGAATATTGAAAGATATGGCTTAAGTTAACTAATTTGGTTAATAACACTTCGATTATCACAGCTGTAACCTATACACAAATTTATTAAATTACAGGTTTAAATTAATATAAGTATCATGCTAGAATGTGACTAACATTAAGATGGCTGAGATGAATATGAAGTCGTAACATGGTTAATATTAATACGTACGTATAGGATTATGTTGAAATTAATTTACATCAAATCCACTATGAAACCAAAGAATTGCAGCACCATTAGAAGTATTTTAAAGAAAAGAACAAGGTGAAAAAATTGTTCCTTATGTTTTTAATACCCAAACACTCCAGGACTATCTAGACAAAGAAAAATCACTTATGAAGTTTACCAAGAAGGACGAAAGATACAAAGCAATAAACGAGCATTAACGCCAACGTATGATAAGACGAGAATTTGAGGAAACATAAAGCAAAAAATCTAAATAATTATTTTCTTTTTATCAGGAATGTTATGAACTATCATTTGATGAGTAGCAAGAGCAGTATTAGTATCAAAGTTAACGATAGTTATCCTTTGCTATTTTCAGATTCTATATTCTAATCTCATATAATTTACTTACTTTTTGAATAATAAAAGTTTGGATTTTGCTTACTAATTTTTTGAGTTTGCATAATTATAATCTATTTTTTTTTTGTTTTTTAGACAAAGCTGGTATTCTTTGGTTGCTAAATAATTCTCTTTTGCTTATTTCTTGATCTTTATTTAACAAACTATTTTCCAATAATAATAACATTACTCTATCTATAAGCTTGCCCATTGCAGCATTGTGCTTTAACACTGTTTCAGACATTTGGTGCTTTCTTCACCTCATAGCTGCATTCAGTGCCTTTTCAGCTTCTTCTCGTTCCATTTCCACTTCATCTTCTGACTCTTCTATCCTTGTTTCTAATTCTTCTTTTTCTCGGTAAGTAAAACTAAAAATTTCTTCATAATTTTGTGCTTCCTTACCGATATTACTCCCCTGAAAGGGCCCTCGCCTAGGGAAAGAAACCCTATTTAAGATATTTTCATATGCAGTGGGAAAACTTTTAATAATGTTTTCAGAGTGAATATTCACTGCTAAAAATAACTTACCCTATTTCTTTTCAGGATAACTTACTCAACCCTTGTCAGGTCAAGTAAATCTTTCCAAGGTTCTTAAAGTGGTACCAGTATTAGTATATTCTGAACTTTCAGTAAGATTATCAACCGCATTTCAAATCCTTAGTTTAAACTAATTGTTTCTTTAACTTTTCGTTTTCTTCTAATAATTCTTTATTTCCCTGTTCGAGTTCTGTTATTATTACGTTTACCATTTTTCTTGTTTATTTTATTTATTCTTTTAATATACTTACATCCTTTTTATAGACTACATTAAGTATATAATTATTTTATGGCTTTCTTTAATGTAATCTTTGAAAGCCGGGAAATGCTAGCAATGTTTGTTGAAATATTAAACTCATTAGACTTAATATTATTGGCAGTAGAAAACAAATAACAAGTGATGAAGGAATTTTATTCATTGCCAGTATAAATTGGTTGTGGACAAGTAATGTCTTTAAATTCATCTCTGACAAATGGGCGAATATTATGATAAAGATATTCTTGTCTTTTGTAATCCAAAGAAGGTGGAGTTAAAACTAGAATGGTAAAAGATTTAATTTCTTTGGTAATTTCAGAAACACTTGTTTTTTTAATTTTCAACAAATTAAATTCGGCATAGGCATCACTAGCAACCAGCTGGGCTTTGTCGAGCTGCTTCAAATACAAAATGCTGATATTTTTGTAAACCACTCAATTTCTTAAAGAAAATTCCCAACACAGAGTTAAGATCTAAGTATTGGAAACCTTTTCCATTATCATAACACTGAGTTTTGTTTAATCCCGCTGTACTTGATTTTTCCACAACTTTTACAATATAATTCACACAATCTACCGTCGTTTTGCGATATAATTCTTAATCAATTCAAAACTACCATCACACTTGAATTTTGTATGTCCAGGTACCATGAAATTAAGCTCAACACTTTCGTAATAACCACAAATTACTAAATATAGGTAAAATCAAATGGTGGCGTTATTTTTATTCTGTCCACCCGCGTTGTCACAAGTAATCTTCAATGCTTTTCACCTTTATTCAATCTCTTAATCGCATCGAATACCATGCTTATTAGTGTGCCATTAGGACCTTTTCCTATAATATCGTCTTCATCGAGAACGTAATTGATCTGTTCGCGTACTGCTTCATTTTGAATACCAAATAAATGTACTTTACGCGGACTGAGATAACTAGATGTTCTTTGTATTTTCTCAATAAGTCTTTTGCTTCCTCCTCCTTACGAGCATTATACTGTAAACCATTCCGAAAATGTTGACAAGTATCACATGGACTCATAATTTGAATATAAGGTCCTGCCAGGTAAATCAAGAATGCTGGATTGAGTCCATAACTGGAGACCTTTTCAAGACAGTGCCTAATAAAGTCAACAATGTGTCGAAAGAATCAATCCGTATATCAACAACAGCTAGTCAGTATTCTTCAAAATTGGCTCTATACATTCTCTTATGACATCATTGGCCAATATCATACAAGGAACCACATGGCAATTCAAGATATTGTGACATAATTTTAACGGCTCCTAATACACAATCCGGTGAACCTGGGCCAACGGCTGTTCTTGAACTACTAGCGATGTCAATGGAGACAGACCTAAGAAGACATTACAACCATGCTCTGGAATATGCTGAAAGCCTCAAGATTTGTTCAGCTCAAAACGGGAAGAGTCTTTATATTTGGGATATCTGGATTGCTCATTTTACTTGCGGAGACGGTGCCACCAAAAAGGAGAATTGCATGTGGCCAACTGAAGAGAGAACCTTCCACGAGAAACAATGTGGAACCCTCAATGGCCGACAATGGAGAACCTGAACGTGGTTGTCTTTTGGCACAATCTTGCATTCACAGAAATTCGATTAATGGTTAAACCTTCTTTTGTATTGTGACAATTAAAACATTCTTTTTTACTCATGATTACTTATTAACATAGTAAGTTTTAAGCGAAAAAAAAAAGGCAAAATAACTACTTAAAGACAAAAGAATTTTTTAAAGCACAGTGAGAATAGAACATTAATATTGTGTCATTAACAAGCTGAGGCAGTAAATTTTTTGTACTAAATTTTTTTGTCCAGACATTTTTGTCTTTTTTTTTCTCTCGACAAGTCGGTCGACACATATACAGTCAAGACTGTTTATACTGGCGATGTATATATCGTATGTAAGTCCCGTCACTATTAAATAGAAACCGCATTTGGGATTTACATACTACAGTCAACCCTCTTTATAGTCACCCCCTCTATAAGCACATCATATAAAAACCTCTTTATAAGCACACCATGTTCGAGAACCAATATTAATATTGAACTTATAGGAAAAATCCTCTATATACACAGGCAAACTCGATAAGTCGGTCTCTCGATGATTCAATTTTGGCCTAAGAAGGCCAAAACTTCCCAAGCCCTTTTCTCAGTTTTAATATTTAAAATCTCTCGATAAGTCGGTCCATCATGCATGACCGACTTATCGAGTTTGCCTATGTAGTCACAACCTCTTTATAAACAAAAGTTGCATTGTTCCCGACAGCGTGACTATAGAGAGGGTTGACTGTACTATTGCTATTGATACCATCCCTTAAACAATCTACTATTAATTTATATGTCAACCATAATCCGTTGGGGAGTTATGCATTTTGCTGAATTATCGACAAAGCCTAGCCATGTGTATATGCATAAATGTGCATTCACGTTGCATTCGTTGGTTTCACCAATGCTCTCTGCAAAAAACTCGATAAGCTCGGGTGTGTATTAGCAGGTCTCGTAGATAGCGCAGTGTAAGTCCTATCTTTTTGTGGCCCAATGCATGTTAACCAGAAATGGAAATATCAATGCGCAATTTACGAAATTTATGTTGTGGCATCTGATCAGCAAATTTGTTATTTCAAAAATGTTAAAATTAGAAATTTCTGGTATGAAAGATGAATGAGCGTCATTTTGACAGTAAGCCTCTTTACCACTTTCCCTGCCGTACATCCAATTAGTTGGAAGAAGCGCTAAGAAATTGATCCATATTATTATAGCACCAGCAGAAAATCGACCCAAGTATCGGGCTGGTCGCAAACTAACAGCAGTTAAGGTATACACTGTGAACCAAGAATCTCGGTATGTACACGAATTGCCTCGCAGCGATAGCACGTTATAGCTACTATAATGTTGTACTTTTCACTTACGCAATCTCTTGCAGCTATTTAGTGATAGAGAATGTGCCTGCACTTCGTCTCACTGATAAGCTTCTCGAACTGGTCTCATTATATGGAACGGTAGAAGAGTAAGGTCTATGTCATATATCCTCGTAGCGCCATTGCTTTATCTTCTAATCTCTCGTTTATATGCTCCATCTGCTTCGTAATAGATACCGACATTTAGATGATTATCCCAGTGAAGAATTTACAGATGTCTATTGGATCAAGTTCCGAGATCTTAAGGAAGCACGGTATGATTTACTGCCCAAATTGATTTAGTGTCTCATGAAATCTCAAAGCCGAACATGTAACATAAATGCAGCGCAGCCAAGAAACAACTAGATGATAAAGTGTTCTACCAATCTCCTCTTCGAGTCCGCTATGGGCCTGAATATGAAAGCGTTGAGGATACAAGGCAAAAGTTACAAGATCGACGAAATACTGTTGCTTCGAAGCTTCGCGGACAGAATTACGAAAGTAGTAGCAGAGGTTGGTATTCTGTAAAGGAAATGAGTTGGCTGTGGAATTGTTGACAAGATTTATCAACGCGATCTCGGATCTGAAATAGATAGACAGAAAACGGTCGTAGAAAACAGGAACTCTACTGTGTCAGAAGATCGGTCGATTGGGCAAATGCAACAGAATATACAAGCGAACGCACAGGATAGTTACGGATATGTATCTAAATACAATAACGATAACTACAACTACAACGGAGACTATAACTATAATTACAATTATAACTACGGTTACAACTATGATTATAATTATAATTACAACTATAATTATAATTACGATTCTAACTATCAATATGACAACCCCTCGGCTTATTCATATCAAAGGTAAAACCAATAAATGCTGTTTTATAAATCTATATATAGATGACTCATGTACTCACATAACTTAAATTTTTAGTCAAGAGCCACCAATACCAGGTATAGGCTACCCATCAGTATCAACGCCAGCGCCGCCAACGACGACACCAAGACCAACAACAATAGCGTCAACGTCAGCATCGCAATCTATAGCAAGTGGCATCAGCACTGCGTATAAAGAAGAAACAGATACCAACTCTTCGCTATCCATCGATGTACGTATATTGTTGTCTTCTCGTTTTCTCACCATTAATACCATAAATATAACACCCATTTTCTGTTGTTTAGCCGATATCCTCTACAGTCCTCTCAATCCGTCAAAGACTAAAATATGCATCATCTGCAAAATCGTCCCTCTCGTCGCGTAATGAAAATAAGAGCACAAAGGTGTTGGGCAAAGCTTATTATGACAATGAATTCGAGGATAACAATGTGCCTAAGCGTCGTAAAAGGATATGACGGATTTTTGCTGCCAATGTAATAGATTACTTGTATATAGTAATAATGTCTTATTATACATTAATAATTAATAAAATATGACTCGATGCTCTTTTTCAAACGACTGCGCCACCCCATTCTTTGATGACATCACAGAATCACAATTTTCTCTCGGAGCACCACATCCCAATCCGAGAAAATTAAATATTACAAACGCTTAGTCTATCCCAATCCCAATACCACCTCCCAATCTCTTCTTGCCTCACTCTCACGTTTCAACATTCACAGTTTGCGAACAAAAACTCAAAGCCTAGACGTAGAAGACAAAGAAATAACAAGATGTCCGAACAGCAAGCAAACAACAGCACCAACACCTCTCAGGCGGCAGACGACAAAAAAGAGGGTGCCGAGCATATTAACTTAAAAGTAGTTGGGAATGTAAGTGGGGAGATATTAGTACAACAAAGGAGAATGAAGAGAGTTGGTGAGAATAGAGAGAGATACTATGCTATGCACTATGGACGTTCGGAAATACATGCGCGTCCGAGAAGAACGTGGAGGAAAGGTCTATTTCGACGCGTTGTTTAGTGTTGGATGAAGACGTTGGTAGATTTGTGATAGCCTATCGTCCTATTAAAACGCGTTCGCGTTTGCATACCTTACAGGATAACTTTACATGTCTATACGTTTACCTATATACACACCCCCATATTCTATGTATTCTTATCTTTTCCCTTTCACCCTTAACGTAATATAGGACCATAACGAAGTTTTCTTTAAAATCAAGCGCACAACACAGCTGAAGAAGCTAATGGAAGCTTATTGTGAGAGACAAGGAAAGGCTATGGCCTCTGTACGTTTCCTGTACGATGGAGAGCGCATACAAGCACATCATACACCTGCTGAGGTATGTCAAAGGATATTAAGGATATTGTACATGTTTAGAAGGATGAACGAATGATGGGTGGATGGACATGCAGATGGACAGTGGGTGGAATTAATGTGAGATTATTAAATTGTAAATCCTCCTTTCTTGAATATAGCTTGACATGGAAGATGGCGATGCAATTGACGTTATGGTTGAACAATTAGGTAGGAAAAGATGGCACATTATAAGTAACCACTAAACAGGAGATGGTTCATGTCTATTGGCATTCTCTACTATCAAATTATCTTCTCGATTACTCATTTCTTCCTCTTTCATCCATATAAACAGGTGGCGCAGTCTCATTCTAACAATCTTCAGTTAATAAACCTTAAGCAAGAGACCCAGTTTTCATAGTTCTCAATTTGAGATGGAATCGTTATAGCGTTGTTATTGTTTGAATAATAAATACAGTAAGATATTTTGACTATATGTGTTTTGGAGCGCTGTGACGTGGGGGTTGAGACAGTGTTTATAGTTACACGCATTAGAAGGTATCAATATACATTATGTATTTGAATTCATTGAATTCATCCGATTTAATCATCGGATTGTCTGAAAGAGTAACCAAGAGGGTGTATTTTATGACAGTTTAAAGTACCACCTGACACTATAAATGCTCAATATCATACATCTTAATTAATCTATCCCGAGGTCTGCTGTTTTATGAAATTTCTTAATTGCTTACTGCACAGTTCTAACGGCGTCTTATTATCCGCATTTTTCCGTTCAAGATCGCCACCGTTCTCTATCAAGAGTACGGCAGTATCACCATGTCCCTCTTCGCAGGCAAGATGGCTACAAGATGAGGTCGATGAGAGAATAGCTTGAGTGCGGAAATGCACAAAATCACGATAATAACAATATACTCACAGGGGAGTGTTGAGAACCTTGTCAGCTGCGTTGGGCTTTGCTCCATTTTCTAAAAGTAGGCGGGCAAATACGGTATAACCGAGTACGGCGCATCGATGACTATTAAATGTTGGGGGGTAAGTCTATATAACTCGATATGCAGAGCCGCACTCTAAACTGGGAAAAAAGGAGTCATAAGACAGCAACCATTATGATGATTGCATAGGTCTTTGCATGAAAACTTACAGAGGAGTTTGCTTGTAGCGGTCTTGCGCGTGTACGTTTGCACCTTTCTCTATCAACACTCTGCCGATCTATAAATAGTCGCAATGCCAGCACAAATGTTTAATGCATCTTTCCCTCACACTCTCTGCAGCAGACCGCAGTTACCTCTATCCTGTTTTTCGATGCAGCATAGTGCCTTTAACAAACAATCGATAAAGTCAATCAAGATTCCAGATGATCAGGTCTACACAATCCATATTCCAACAAGTTTACTCACAGTGGAGTCATGCCTAATTCATTTTGTACGTTTATCGTGGCACCTGATAAAATCAGCCTCTTTGCTATTTCAAAATTTCCTGTGGATGCTATATGCAGAAGGGAAGGGTAAGGAGATTGGAGTTTTGCGTTCCTTTATTAGTTAGGTAAGGAGGACCATGGCTAATGAACAAAGGAATAGACGAGAAGTACCCGCGATATGTAATGGCGTCCAACCAGCCTCGTCGGTATCATTGACATTTGCCTCATGTTGTATTAAGTACTCGGCAATATCAAAATGTCCGCCTGATACTGAATTAAAGAAATGCAAGCGATGATTGCAAAATAATGTTGATTGCCTGATAACATGTGGTGATTACAATGGCTTTCAATTATCTGGCCCACCTGCCCAATGCAATGGAGTACGTTCGTCCTATTCGAATTCGCATTTAGCGAATACAGATCAAATACATATTTTGTTCAATGTCCATCATAAAAAATTAGCACACCTCATCCTTTGATCCTACAGCTTTGGGTTCCACCTCAATAACGCTCTTAACGTCATCGAACTTTCCTTCCAATGCAGCAGTATGAATGTTCACGCTCTCAGTCATGTCGATAGTCACTATAGAGTAATGATAATGGAGCCTACGTAACAAATTTATGAAAATAGAACCCAGTTACTATTGGTCAAATTGAATGTTTATTGATCAAATTAGGAATAAGACATGACGGAATAGTCCCATATAGCAAAAAGATTAGCGTTGTGGAAACTGTTACAATAAAGCATTCGATGTAGTCACCATAAAGTATTGCGTTAAGGAATAATAATACAGGAAATGTAAGCAATTGGGTTTTCCCTTATTGTCAACATATACGTTGAGATACTGAAATATTTTAATTTCAATTGTATCTTCGACAAAAAACCAAATATTTCAAACCCAACTTCTTAGCTCTTAGGCTTTATAAACAGTATTATAAAGATATTATTTTTGAAGAAATTTATGAAGAACATGATTACTGTCCAACATGTAATAAATACACGAGAATAGAATATAATCAAGTTTGTAATGATGTTCGTAAATATTATATCTATTATTCTTATCCAAGTATTATAATTACATTGTATTGCAAGCATGATTGGTACATTCACCTTTTGTACATATTATGACAAAATAAATAAATAATTAGAGCCTTGATGTTACTGTGATGAAAAAAACTAAAGTATTATATCTATTTCACTTGTGTCTGATACCATGTTATTTCACTTTTGAAAAGTCATGAGAAAGTTATTGAAGAGATTGATGAAAATCTTCGCAAGAATGATTTAACTTACAATCCACTTTGTAGTAAATGGAAATGATGACAAAGAGTTAGACTCTTCCATCATTACCATGCTATATTGCTTAATTCCCACCCATCCAGTGACCTCTCTTCCGTTGACATTGATCAAAACTGGAATAAGTTGATTTCCAACAATTAGCGCGACACCTCTTGATTTTTGACCACCTTCTTTCAATCCACATAATGGAACCCGCTGCAAGCAAACAATCCATTCCCGCGCTAGGAGATTAGTTTTTAGAACCGAGTAAATAATAACAGTATCGTATAATTAATATTTAAGATTCTCGTTAGTCTAGTCTTTATATTCGACAATCATTTTAGTAGCCAACTTGCAAGCTGTCCTCAATGAGTTTTGGTTTATCCTTCGCGGGTTGATGTAAACAGTATTAAGTATGTCCTCGTATACATATAAACTTGTGAAGAATAAATAACTGTTTACTAATTACGCCAATACTAATATTAATTATTTTTCTCTCGAATTGCTCACACGGGTTTAAGATGAATTTCGACAATCGTATGAAATGACAAACTGCATGTAATAAATATCGAGCTAAGGAGCGCAATTATCAAACAAAAAGTTGGGTTTTGTATGTTCGAACAGTTATTATTGTTTGTCCAGTACAAAATTTAGCTAATTTATAATTGATTATCAATAATAGTTGTACTGTCCTAATACAAAAGATCGTATCATTATTTTTCACAGCGATATACGCGTAGAATAACCTTTACATTAACTTACTCAAGGATATGAGAAGAAGCCATCATTCGTAAACAAGATTGATGAAAATACTGGCCGCCGATATTCTCGTAGACACGTGCAAAACGAGACCGTATTGCGTATTTGTTATTTTCAAGTCACAAATCCGATGCTATTAAGAACATATCATCAATTACAGAAGAGTGGTGACCAAGCATACAGTCTCTATTATCGAAGTTTATTTTTATGTTATTACCTGGACGAACTGTCTAGACTACACAGCTAATAACGCGCTAATTACAATTATGACATGGATATGCAATGCGGAGTGATCAAGATAAATTAAACCGAAATAATCGGCTGCTTAAATGAATAATTAAAAAAGCTCACTTATAAAAAAACCAACATGCGTGTGTTAAATATCAAAATTCTCATTGTAATGAAACAGACTATCCTCCAAACATATCCAATGTTTCTAATCAACATAAGTCTCTTCATCGTATGCATCATCTCTCAAAACGCTATCATCCTTGGGCAACGCGATACAGGAACACACTGACTCCAAAAACCAAGGTTCATCCTTGATTTTCTTCATGACTGCTTCAGCGGCTGTCTTACGAGCTGTACGAATGTTGTTGGCTGTTGTATTAGCAACTGCTGTATCATGAATAAAGATTGTACATGCTGCCTCAATTCCAGTCTCCGTTGTGTGGTTTCTGGTGAAAATTGAGTAAGGGTTGTGTATAAAAGAAAGAGATAAGTATTGATATATATAGGGGAGAATAAAAAAATTTTGTTGTTAGATGATAATGTATGGTTATAGATCAATAACAATAAACATTGAACAGCCAACTGTCTCTCTTCCCGCTTACCTTAATAATACCATGCTACATCCTTGCTTGTGCAAATATTCCGTGAGTTCCTTCACTGGATGTACTTTCAGTGTTTCAGGCGTAACATGCTTCATTAATACTGGTTGGATGCATCTATCAAACATCTTTTGTGGTGCGGCAATATCAAATTCTGCATCCACAAGCACTGCTCCTAACATACTCTCTATAACATCGCTCAATACTTTAGGCACGTCAATGTCACTCCAATACTCTCCGACGGCTGTACCCTCTTCTCTCATTTTATCAACAGCTTCTACAAACTCGGTAATAGCAGACATTAGTTTAGGGGAAAAGTGAATAATATGTTTGTGAAGATCCAGTATTTCACATATAGCACCCAATATATGATTGTTAACCGAGGCATCTTTGAGATCAGTAATAAGACCAGGAGTACCCTCTGGGTATTGTTCAAAAAGATATTTTACTGTCAAGAAGTCCAGTATAGCATCACCAAGGAATTCCAATCGCTGATAGCACGACGTCTGAGAATTGGGCAAACTCGCATGAGTCAGGGCCTCGGCAATAAGTATCTTGTTCTTGAACGTATGACCACAAATTTGTTCTATCTTTGCAATGTCCAAGTTGTGCAACTTCCCCTCCTCCACCCTCGGTGGGTTTCTGTTAGTCTCATGAAATTGTTTCCACTCGGTTATATCGCCAAATTGAATGGCCAACGCAATTGCTGTCTTCAGCGCCAATTCAGTCGTGCTGCTTAGGTATGACGCTCCGAGTAATGCCTCGACCACATCTGCTATTTGCTTGTCAGCTAACTCTTGCACTTTTTCCAGAGCACGCAACTCGGGAGTATCATAATCTGTTCTCATTGCTATAGGACGCCATGATCGACGATTGAATGGTTGGGATTTGATGTATCCGTATAAGCGAAGTCTCTTGGCAGCGCGATAAAGATTCTTATTACATATAATGCGAATACGCTGACAGTGAAGTTGTCCCTCGTGTTTCTCAGGAAAGCTGACGTAGAGGTGAACTGTAGTTATAAATTTCAAAAATGCGTCACCTAATGTTTCTAGCCTTTCATAATTCATTTCCATATTGGCAGATGGTGTCGTTAAAGCTTCCAGAGCTTGAAGATCGTCAACGTATAAGGTGAGCCGAGCGCGTAGTTCTTGAACCAATAGTAATGAGTCGAGTCTGACAAGAATAGTTGGAATCATCATAGCGGAGCGGAAGACGGATCCCTTGATCGTGTACTCATTACTAAATTCAGGTATGAGAAAAGCAGCCGTTCGTCCTTTCACTATCGGAATTGCCCCAGGTATTGGTTGTAAAAAGTTCATAACTCGAGAGATCTTTCGTACTTGCAGCATGGGCTGGTTGGGATTTTGCAGTTCTAGATCAAAACGTGCCTTGTAGTATGCAGCAAAATTCTCATGTCCAAGTTCTCTTGTAAACCTGCTCTCGGGAACAGGACTCAGTGGTGTAAGGTCATATCTAATATCATCGACAAAGTATCTACGACTATCCTCAGAATGGTCAATAATCACGGCATCCCTTAAACTCTCGATATCGTTGAGATCTATTGGACGTTGACTACATCCAATAGCTGTCTTAACACCATCCCAATCAATATGATCAAGCGAGTTCTCATCGACTTTGGTATCTTTCATGAGGGGTAAGAACAAATAGACACACTCGTCCAAGTCAGCCACGTACTTCTTATTAAAGATCGAAGTAAATAGCCGAATAGTAAAGTTGAAAGCCAATTCTAGTTTTTCTCTACCCAACTTGATAGGTTTCGAGTATGGAATAACTTTTACCAACTTGCTAACACCATGGAAGAAAATCTGAATATCAGGCACACTAGGAAATTCTTTTCGCGTAAGCATACACATAACACGATATGACTGTCCGTCGTATGTCTCGTTTTCAATATCGAGTTTAAATATTGTAGCATACAACTCATCCGGCATCGGCCCCAGTTCTTCTGTATCATCGGCGGGGGTTGATCCTTCTTCTGTCTCCTCACTCACCAAAGGCTTTTCCTTTTTTGCTCCCCAAAAATCAGGGATTTTTATATTATACTCCCGTCTAGTCTTGCGTGCTCCTTCTGTGAGGCCATCTTTATCTTTGGTCATCTCATGATCCTCTTCGATCCACTCAACATCCGGCAGCAAATGATCATTCAGTCCCTTATTCTCATACAGCTTTATGCAAGTTTTGAAGGCAGCAGACTTTTTTGCCAAACCTCGGCTCCTCATCGGTTCGCCTGCCACCGTTCTAATTGGCGCATTATTGGGTAGTGCTATCGTACAGACAAAACTCCCGCTCACCGACTCGATATCAAACTCTGGCACCAAGTTACAGTAAGCATCTTTTGGCAGTTTCGAACAATAATAATATACCAATGACACCGCCGATTCGTAGCTAAGTAAAGCACCAGTCGAAGGAACAATATGATATCGTTCGACCACTGGGCCTTCCTCGTCGTCATCGTCAACGTCTGAATCATCCTCGTTTACCAGAAACAATCGGCGGTCCTCAGGAAGTGTGGCACACCATTCACGCATCTTTTGATCGGCTTCACTAATTTCCCTAAGAATAGATTGCTCCCTGGAATTCCCGTTCTCAAGCATGACAATGTATTTAGAGTTCTTTTTTCTCGCCCTACCGCGAGATTGGATATAGGCACGAAGGGTGTTGAAAAAGTCGAAACTATTTGATTGAATAGAGACAGATTGCTTGTGTTAAATCGAATGCAAGTTTTACAACAATAGTTGTCGGAGACTCACTCTATAATCACATTTATCACCCTGACCCACGTTTGGAGACTTACCGAATGACGACATTACATGGCTGAATGTCTAAACCTTCTTCGGCTACATTTGTTGCGATAAGCAGATTAATCTCACCCGAACGGAAGGCATTTATAACCCTGTTCTGCTGCCGAAATCGCATCTGTACATCTCCATCAACGGCCATCCCATGTCCAACCAATATGGACGATTTAAGAAATTTGAGTGATTCAATTTCTTTTATCAAGAAATTCAGTGCTACTGCTGTATCCCTTCGCTCAACGAATACGATTCCGCAAAACTCCTCGGATACCTCTACAAAACACTCCAAAATCTCAATAAGCCGCAACACTTTCGGGGACAATAAACGTTTGTCAAGTATCGGCTTCTCAAGTTTATATTCATCGATGTAAGTGAGCGCTTGGAAAACCAACTTTTTCTCATCGTCCAGAAGATCTATCTTGTATAGTGACGGATCGAGCTTACCGCCTTGCTTTTCTATAGAGTCATCGAAAAAATGCTTCCATATGCGATCAGAACACCATGGTCCGAGCGCTTCGAGACAAAATTTAGTGCTGCAAAGACACTTCTGGAGTTTTTCGGAACTCGAACAATCTCTTTGTATTGACGCGGAGAGCTGAGTATCTCCATAGCGGGGAGCGGTATCGTAGTAAACGGCAATTTCTTCGGGACGGTTCACAAATTGGCGGAGTTCGTCTGTATCAGATGCTGTGAAAATTCTGGCTGATAAGCTATGTTCTAACTGACTATAAGTTTAGAAATCAAATGAATCACGCTGAAGCAAAGAGCACACGTGGAGCAAAGATAGAGAAACAGTAGCAAATCAAATACCTTGCCGATATCATTTTACGCGTGTTAACAGGTGATGCCGTCATGCCAAAGATTTTTGGTCGTTGATCGGCTGGGCATCGATCGTAAAATTCCATCATGATAAGGTTGTATGGATGGCGTTTTGACGTATGATGGCATTCATCAAAAACAATGAGGTTAACCTGAATAATGATGGCAGACAAGTGTTGTGTTAATAAAGCTTCTGGAACTAACAAAAATCCATCCTTTCACTAATATACCTGGGACATTGAAATAAATCCATGTCGAAGAATATTCAGAAATATTTGTGCAGTCATCACTGCTACTTCAAATTCTTCGAAATTTTGCTTCCATATCTTCTCTGTCCATAGATCAACGCCCATTTCACCGCAAAAGTGTTTAACCTTTACATCACAATTTGCTTTTATGACAGCCGCTTGTTGAAATACAAGGGGGACTAGATTCACTAAAAAAAAGGAGAGTTTTGTCTATATTTGAGAAACAAAGCGACCAGAAGGTTAATTTTCTTATATAGAAATATTCAATAACGTGTTCCAATATTAGTACCTCACGCCTGGTCATTCTTAGTCTTCTCTCCTCCGCAACCGTTTCTTTAATAAGTAATACCGCAATAAACGTCTTCCCGCTGCCCGTATCCAATACGGCAATAATGTTGTCCGTCTTGGCCCTTTCAAATAACTCGAGTTGATATTTTCTGGGAGTAAGTTGGACAGATATTTCATCCACCACCGTGACCTCATCGGATTCGTGTGTGTTTGTAGATAAACCATTAGTAGCCATTTTGTGTATAAGCGAACGTCGAATAAGTGTAAATAGATCAATGATGATCTTCCGCAGAGCGGACAAGTCTTAAAATAATAAAACCCATCATTGTCTGTTAAATTTAGACATGTGAAACGTCACCAATCCCGATAACTATAAATGCCCTTGGAAGAAATTTTGCCTACTATTATTATGATATTAAAACATGTCAGCGAACCCTTATCGTCTTTATGCGGATAATGAAGATACGGAGAGCGTTAACTATGAAACGGAGGAAGCGCAGATGTGGAAGGACCCTCCAAGGTCGACAAATCGAAGGAGTCAGCCGAATAATGAAAATAACAACAACAATACAGGCCCGCGACCAGACGTATTGACTATGGGAGCTCCGAGGAGAGTACCCGACGAAATCTGGCTGGTATGTATACGCTTGGTTTGCTTGTTTTCTGTGGAGTTGGAATGAAAAAGACAGAAAGAAGCGTGGAATTCAAAAATACGAGACACGACAGTCTAGGCTTGAACAGTTTGACAGCACATGATACTGATATATTTTGTTAGTACGAGGATTATGTGACCATCCAGAATTAGACCTTATCCGACGCGAACTGACATATTTGTTAATGTCGACGAGCTATTATTAATTTATATTTGATATTCGCCAGATTCCTGCCAGCGTAAAACCGGAAAAAGTCATAGGAACCAGAAGGGAGAATTTGAACAGAATCGCGAAAAGCACAAACACATCGTTGGAATACAATCAAGAGCGTTCAGTAAGTTTTGGTCATATTCCAAGAAGTCTGGCCAATTCAATTAAATCGTGGTTGTGGTATATTGTTTAGAGTTAAGTTTATCAACACTCAAACAAACACCAGCCACGAGCTTGAACATTTAATACTTGTATCGGCAAGAACTTCTGCTCTCCTGGTATAAGCTGATAACAGTTAACTACAATCAAGAAAATTGCATATTGGTTTTGATTAAAATATTTCCTAGCAAATAGAAATATGGGGTGTACGTCGAGACGTCGATCAAGTCCTCAGGCAATTGAATCAAATTGCAAACCTTTTTGCGGTAATCACACGTTATGCTAAATCTGTACCTGCAAGACTTGTAATATTTGGTCATCATATATGACTATATTTTATACATTCATTTTTTTTTGTAGACAGGGACCAGGTCCCCAAGGGCTGCAAAATGGAATAAACCGGAAAGGGAATTAACAGAGAAAGAAAAGAGGAAGCAAGAACGCCGGAGGGAACGCGAAATGTTGCACAAGAACTACGTGGGGCCTCCCAAGGAAGAGAAAACCTTTCGCGGATATTTTTTATTACCAAATGATGACATTACACATTCCGCAGTTTACACGGATACTCTGCTGAATCAACTGCGTGCCGATACGAGATGCTTTATAGTTTTTATCTCCAATAGTAATGTTAGTTACGAATACTCCATTTTACAGCTATCGTTATAACTTTCTGTGTTAACATATTCTCTGACTTGCTTTTTTCTCGTTCTTTTTCTTATATTTTTTCCTTTACGTTCCCCCCCCCCCCCCAGCTTATGGAAATTTCAGGTGATTCTTATGGAAGTGTGGAGGAAGCCACGAGACGTGTTAAACAAATATACTTGAAACACCTTGCTGTAAGTGGAGTAAATTGTGCACTATGGATTTCATCATTTTTTTTCCTGGTTCGCGGTCTATACTTACTAATATGCAAAATAGTGGAGGCGAATCCCGAAAAACAATCGAACAGACAACCCGAGAGAGTTGGGAACCTGTTCGGGATGGGTTCAACACTTGATCGAGGAGCCCACTAGGCCCTGTAAAGTAAAATTTGCTAACGTTCCCAAAGGCTTTGAGATTCCATACAATTTCTACATTCAACGTGCGAAAGACGGTTCTTCCAAAGATAACCCTCCTCCTCCCAAAGCACTCGAGGCTGTATTCGAAGGGGGTGATATTACGGTCGTCGGTAAGGATGGTATGCAGGAAAAGAGCGACCCACGCCCAAGTGATATTGTCGCTATGAAGAAGTAAGTTTGCATCTGGCTTTGATGGTTGATAATTGGTGTGATTCTAACACTTTAATAATATTTAGGATAAATGAGGCCAATATAAAGAAGTTTGGAGACACTTTGCATAAAAGTCTTGGAGCTGTTCATTTGTTCCAAGAGAAAATTAAGATGAGAGTCAGGTAGTCGTGAGAATCATGGCGAATCAATTGGCTTGTTATGGTCCATTATTTACTCTTCTATCTATCAAAACTATAGATTTGGTCACCTCATTATTACCGACTACCCGAAAGAACCGTTGTGGCCTATCGATAAATTCAATGATAGAGTCCTGCGTGACTCGCGATTATGTTCAGTACTTTCTAATTGGTATTATATAGCTTTGATTTTTACCGTTTACTCAACTTGGGGGCAGACTTGTTCATTAATTCTCACATATCCGTAGTATTGCAAAAGATCGGTCCAAACTTGAAAGACTTTTTGAAAAGCTGTCTGAGAAAGATGCGGAAACTGGTAGGGATAACCAGTGGGACAACTCTCCGTTTACAGAATACAAAATTGTCACACAAAGTCGAAATAGTCAATCAAAAACTGGAGCGCCTGCTACATACGTCTTTGAAGTAAATTTCAAACCAGAGGCTAAGGAGGCCAAAATCGGATTATGGCACGCCATGATTGATGATAAGAACATAATGGAATTAAATATGATATGTCCAGAAAAGTACGTTTATACGATAAAGTCAACGTTGTTTCAATCAGGTTGCATTACTTATTGAGTTGTTGGACTGACGCAACCTTTTCTTTGTTTTATAGCGATTATTCCTGGAAACTACAGTTAAAGTGCTCTAAACGTTTGCCAAATTCAATTAACAGTTCACAGGGATCTTTTGTTTATAAACTTCATCTGAGGTAAGATTTATACCATTATTGTGAATTTAGTATATCTTTACTACACTATCTCATACTCGATATCGCACACACTAGTCCGATGAAACACTTGATTTATGCGAATACCAACGAATACGTGGTACAATCCGTATGTGAGAAAACAAAATGGAAATTCTGGTGGGAGAGAGAGTATGTTGTTGAAGTAACCAGATACGACTTCTGGGATTGTAAAAAGATGACAGACTATGCACCTGGCATAGAGATCGTACTTAGCAGCGAAGACAAAGTTACTACATATGGTGTAACGGTAAGCTTTTGATTATAAAGTGTATTATTTAATCTTGTCGGATTTTACTGATCGAGTCACATGTTATTTGGCCTTTTTATTGTATCGCAACAGCTTTACAGACAACAGTGGGATGATGATTTTGCGTACAACTGGTCTCTCGAAGCCGGTGAGGCGCCCAAGTGGCATCCAGACGACTATATATTTGACGATAACGGAGTAAATGGGCTATTGAATGACATAAGAAAATTTTTGGCATTATTGGAATCAACAGTTTCTCCATAAAGCAACACGCATATTTGCGATAAAATTTGATGACAATAACAAAGCCTGAAATAAATTTAATTGGAACTCTTTGTTTTACTAAAATGACCAATCGTTGGGATTAAAACGATAGGGAAAGCTGTATTCGTCGGATGGATTGTAACACATCAATAGTAGGCATTATTACTACTATTTCCCCGGAGAGAATCAAGTCTCCATCAAGCAATGCCCGGAGGAAGATTCCCCGAGCGCCATTTTCATCTCGATCCATTATAGTTCCACAATTTCGGCACTTGTACATTTCGGACCCTCCTATTTTTTGAACGCTCCCACACCAGCTGCAAGTTTTCGAAGTATAGGCCTCATTTTGGATAATAACACGGACCCCTAATTCTTCTACCAGGCATTGGCGAAATTGATAGTGGCCCAACAGAACAGTTTTTCGTGTTGTCCTTCTTGTTTTTCGATTTACCATGTTCGACACCTCAAAAGGAGGGATGATAATGGCATCGAATTCGCGAGTGTAAAATGCGACACTCTTTTTATGAACTTCGCATCCGAAAGATTGCCTTATCACCTGTTTCTTCTTACGTTTTGAACTAGCTTGTCCTTTATAGAAAGATTATCCATATGCTTGCATAGGCGAATAATTCGTCCAATGTCGTATTGGCCAATTTTACCTACACCTTTGGTAGGAGAGTACCATGTGAAGGGTGTACGAACGCCAGGATCGATGGAAACTGCATGAATAGAACTATCCGCTTGGGTTGTTTTTGCGTCTCGTAAACCCATGAAAATTTCCATTCATTAGCTTTGCGAATATACGTAAGCTTACAATCGGACGTTATTCTGTCACTTATTGTTATGCCTTTTTTTTTTTCGAGTAATAACAGGCTTATGGGTGCAGAAAGCATTGATGGATTATGGAGATGGGTGATATAGAAACGGTCCACGTGGATTTTGAAAACGAATTATCATCGTTTGTCGCAAGGATCGAAATGACAAAGACGAATTTCTTTGCTGATTCCTATGTTTTGATTAATTATCTTGTCTCCAAAATTAGTTAAAATAAATAAATCAAATCGAAAATAACAATCATACCTAGCAGTTAATGCTCCAATACGCACGACAGTTCGCACGAATTTGCGTTCACCCATACGCATGATCTTTGAAGTCTCTTGTCCTCACGCTCATTAATGTCTTTTCCTACACGAACATCCGCGCAAAGCTTCAATACCGTCGTGATGGGACCAATATGCGAATCTTTAGTGTAGAAACGGCGGTATCGACTCCAGCGGACAACCGCATTATAAGCATATTATACCGTTTCTTGGCAATATCGAGAATGTCGTTCAGACCACAGCGAATATCATCTTTCAACTGAAACTGATGGATGATAATAGTAGAATTAGAGCACATAAACAGAAAGACATGTGGGAAACATACTTAGAATGTAGGAAAGTCTCACAATTAATTATGTAATATGTGGTGGTGATCATTGGTAAGGTACTCATGATGAGCATGCGCAGCACAGCATAGCGTCGATCCCCAATTACTTTCTGTGTATGCCACGAGAAGTCATATTATAGACACAGCAGACCAGCAGTCTATGTGAGCACCTTTATTGCTTATTCACCAGAAAAGTAATTTGACAAAGCATGTTCATTGTACAGTTGACTTTTTTATTTCTTTCCTAACCATTAATATGAACCAATAAATACAATATTAATTGTACTGCAAATTGACTGTTTGGCTGCGTTGTACAAGTGGATGGGTGATTTTCCAACTCCGAACTTGTAGTATGAACGGTTAGCGATGTTAATAGGCAATGCAAACCATTTAGAACAAAGCGCAGGCTCGTCTTTATGCATGCATGCCACTCCCTCATAAAGGCTGATTGGAGAAGCCGAATCGTTCGGACAGTCATCGTTATGTGAGAAATGTCAAAAATGGTGAGGATCGACAAAGAAATATATTATTTGCAACAAAGAAATAACACAAGCGTAGATCCGTTCACAAAATGCACCCCTGCTTTACGTTTTGATTGGTCATGTAATGCATGATACGACATAGACACCCCTGTCATTACTTATTGTTGGTAAATTTAAAGTCTCAAGATGGTCTTGTAAGATATTTTATGGAGCAAATCCCTCTGCAGTGTAATGTAACCAAACTGTTCGTTGTCATTTAGGCAATGCTTAAATTAACGAATTCGATAGTTAGTCGCGAACTGGTTTGTCACCCTAGCAACAACGTTACGCGTATGATTTCCATAAACTTTTTGTAGACCAATTGATCCCTGACTGTGACGCTATGGCCATTCTGCTTTTACCCGGATAAGAAGTTGCCTCGTTTTCAAATAACCAATCATTGACAATATTTTTCTTTGTGACACCCGCAACTTGTCCTCTTTGTCAGAGCGATGATTACAGCTTAGCAATAAAGGATGCACAAAAACGTTCGCCCAAACAATAAAGGTTAGCCGTTGTGCCTAAATTATAATTTTTTCTAGAATATGGTCTGCACAAAACTGCTGCTTCTTGTAGGGAATTCCATAAAGTAATAAATAGTAATAGTAACGCAACGTTTATTGTGTAACGGTTACGCTGCACACCACAAAATTAGTTTCTTTGAATTTATAATTACGTAAGTCAATTAAATACATTCCACATTAATGTTTCAGCTCAACAACAAACATCAAGTGTACCTGACGGAAATTCCATCTGGAAAATGACTTGATAAATTTAGGCATCTTTCGATTATTATAAGAAGGCACTGGACAGTCTTTGAAGCATCATACTATTGAACGTTTATCAACCCGCTTTTACAAGATACATCAATACATATGACACAAAATCAACCATTGGAGATTCTCCTTGATGCCAATTTAGCCGGCCTTTTGGATCTCTTGCAAGGACATGTCGATGAACCAAAATCCCCCGGGGTCCGCTTTGTAGAAGGAGTGAAAATCGCCGAATTCATTGCAAAGTCTTACAAGGGTGGAATATTGCCCCATAACAAAGAGACACAGCGTATGTTGTTGTTGGAGGAGAAAAAACGTCAATTACCCTCGCTTTCAACCCCAGAGGGTGTTGATCAACTTATCAGTAGATTGAGCTGCATTACCATCAACGAACCGCAAACCTACGCGACAGGAACCGTGATCCAACTGGTGTCAAGATTGCTGGCGTATTCCCTCCAATTTCGACGATGTCTCTCCGCTGTACCCGAAGACCGTCTCACCTCGGCCATCGCTGCCGTATCCGATTACAAGGGCGCCGTATTGGATCTTTCGAATCCTTTCACAACGATACCGTGGAAAGTTTTGTTGAATGATTTCTTGATGAAGGCTCAAACGACATTGCAGTTGCCTTTCAATCCGTACGTACACTAGATATTGTACTAGTACAAAAACAATCTCTTCTTGTTCCCCTCCGTAATACACAGAGATCTTAAACATGTATGTCCGTTACTATTAATATTACAGGTACACCAACGCGACCGATGATATAAAGGCGTAAGTATAATTCTTCCGACTATCTCATGATTGTAACCGATTTTCACTTATTCGCCATATTCCATTTGTAGAATCATCATGGGTGCTTCGCCTTTCCTGGTATCTGGTGGCTCAATCCAGCCTCTGGACACCGAAGTCAGCTTTATTGAAAATCTTTATCGTCAAACAGCTGGGCAATACAAAAATTTCGATAAAGCCAGCCATACCGATGGGACGTTTTTGCAATTCGGGTTTAATGAATACGTGCAGCATAGAATCCCTATGAAACGGGTTAGCAATGGTGCATACGTCTGTTACGTGGATGCCTTGCACAAGACATATTACTACACGACCCTCACCCTTGATCCATTCCGCTTTAAGGTGTTGAAGAACCTTCTCATATATGAGATAGTCTCGGGGAAAGCTGCTTACATTCACAGTGCGATACATTATTACCTGAGTATGTGCACATGCGAAGAGGATTTTAAATCGATGATCGAATATGGTGTTATTCAATGGGGATTTCCAATGAAAGGATATGATGAATTTCGTGAAATGATGAAAGAGTTGCTGGATACTATGTATTGCTGGAAATTCGTAAACACTTGGACGTGGCATGCTGAATTGGTCAAAATTGCAAGAAGAAAAACCTTTTTGGGAGACACAAGCAATTGGGGTGACTTTGCAGCAAGTTGCTATACCGGCGGTTTACTAAAACTAGATGTGAGTGGTTCTTTGTACAAGAGCCTTTCCTGAACGAATAACATCGGCCAATCAGTTTTAAGAAAAGCCCACACTGATTGTCGAACAAGGGCTTGAAACCATAAAATACTTATTGAGAGAAACCCAGCAATATGTTATATTTTATATTCATTTTCAATGGTTTTCCATTGATTAATTTGTACACTTTACAAGTTATTTCTTTCCTCTGCATCTGTAATTAACTGTTTCTAGTAGCACTTTAGTGAGTTTAGACCCCAGCTTTTTCCGTTGGGAAATTTTGTATTTTGCATATTATTCAGATTAAGAAACCAATTTTATTTCAAATAAATGGGGTATCTTTATTATTATTATTATATTTGATTAATCAAATCATATTATGGAAGTGTTAAATTCTATTCAATGATCCAATCAGATACAAAAGTCTTTGGATATTGTATCCATTGACCATTTAATACCCATGTAGAATCTAAGGTTCCATGCTGTAGGGCTTTCCGGTAAGCGTCTTCAGTGAACCTTCGAAACTTACCTTCAAACAAATAATACATGGGCCAAACGAGTTTTTTCTGGAAAGAGGAATTTGCCTGCCCTGCCATGTCGCACAACCCAACACGTGTACAGTCCATAATATTTCTATTTATAGAGGAGAAGCCATCTGAGTGTCCAATGAAGGGCCCGATTATGTTTTTTCTGTTCGAAATTTCAATGTCTTTGAAGAACGTTTAAAATTGCTTGTTCCAAACTTGTGGGATTAGCGGGATCACTTCTGTCAGGACGCTTAATATTAAGCGGGTGTTAAGAATGT